GAACAGGCCACATATGGGTGCACGGTCGACGGAGGAGGTGAGGTGCAAGTGAGCAACGCACAAGGGTACGCGACAAGTGAACGCGAGGCATCGGATGCGCATGGGCGCGATGTAGGCGAGCAGGCCACGGGAGTTGGCAGTGACGCGCGGGCGTTAGGCAGCAAGGACGCGACGCAAGCTGGGCGCGCGGGTGGCAGGTACGCGAGGGGAGACCCAGACCGAGTGGGCGTAGGAATACTAAGCGATGACGGGTACGCGCGCGAGACGGAAGGCACGAGCAACGTGCGCGCGACATCGTGCGCGTGTGAGGGGCGCGCGCGAGACCTAATTGCCGAAGGACTAGGCGAGCGTGAGAGGCGGCGTATGGATGACGTGTGCGACGCGGACACGGCGTGAGGTGGTCGAAGACTTGGGCATAATTTGGAATTGTTTGGAGTGCAAGCCAAGCAAGATCAAGACAATCTAGTTAATTAGTACTCTAGTATATTCAGTTTCCTTCTTGCACAATAATATCTAGATTGTTTAGGAATTTAATATTTAGTTGCTTTTATTTATTAGTAGTAGAAGATGCTAGGAGATTTACTAGCATTAGGATTTATTTTATTGCATAGATTAGGAGATCTAGTTTGATTAGGCCTAGATTTATTTTGCACCTATAAATACCCCATGTACCTCATCATTATTTTATGTCTTGAATTGAGTGTTGAATTGGTGAGCCAATTGAGAGGGGAACTTATGTTCTTACGTGGGTTTAAACAAGGCCATTAGTGCGTGTTTACATACAGTGTCGGTGAGAAGGCCATTAGAGCGTCTTGAAGTCACAGTGTCTAGAAGAAGGCCTATAGTGCGTCTTTTAGATACACCTATCGTGGATAAACGAAGGCCCGAGTGCGCGTTTATTCATAACCCGTATAGAGTAAAAACACGGTTCGTCATCATTGGTGCTTTCGTTGAGAGGTGCTGATCATGTTTTTATGTATCCTATCTTTTATTTTTTTCGGTTTTCCTTTTGCTGAGGGGCCGAATTTCTTTTTTTTTTGGGTCGAAATTTTCGAAATTCTTGTTCGAATTTTTCAAATTTTTTCGTGAGTATTAAAAAAAAAAGTGTCAACTGGTCCTTTGTTTGATTTTTGTTCGGTTATTACCTTTTGTTGAGGGGCCGAATTTCTTTTTGGTTCGATTTTTAGAGTCTTTTTTAGGGTTTTGATTTTTTTTGAATTTTTCCCTATTATTTTCGAATTTTTTAGAGTCAAAAAACAAAAAAAAAAAATATCTTACCCATCATTGGATGAGTTAGATTGGGAAGATCTTGAGATGTTGGAAGGTTTGGAAAGGGAGCTCACACCATGGGAAAAACATATCTAGATGAGCTTCATGAGCGAAGGAACATAGAAGAATACGAGCGACAACTTGTAGAAGCCCGAGAAGCAATGGTGATCGATCTCCAAGGAAACAATGGTGATGAAGGTGCGCTTAATTTTCTAATCCTTGAGGATAAGGAAAGTCTCGAAGAGGAGGGGAATGATACAGAAGTGGTTATTAACCCCGGTGAGTCCGACGATGAAGGTGGCGACGATCTCGATATATGGCTAGAGAACATGCTGGAAGAGCCGACAAGTCTAATATACCGACCATCATGTGTACGAGATTAGCCGAAAGGATGTGGTCCACGAGCTAAGCTAAAGCCTAAGAGGCGCAAGACCAAACGAGCTCGAAGGAAACACAAGGCAAAAGCAAAAGAAGAGAAGTGTTGGTGCAAGCCTTGTACAAGGAAAAGACGAGCACGGAAGAAAGAGGCTAGAAGTCGAGGTTTGCGTTGGGTTGAAGAAGGATGGTGGATACCGGTGGAAGATTGCGTAAGGTTGAAGAGTTGGGATCCATGGCCCGAGCCGACGGGAACGAGCGGCAACCAAGAGGACGACGGCGATCAGGTAACGGGCGAATGGCGCGCATCGGCCCATGATGCGCGCGGTTGGACAGAACAGGCCACACATGGGTGCACGGTCGACGGAGGAGGTGAGGTGCAAGTGAGCAACGCACAAGGGTACGAGACAGGTGAACGCGAGGCGTCGGATGCGCATGGGCGCGATGTAGGCAAGCAGGCCATGGGAGTTGGCAGTGTACGCGCAGGTGTCAGGCAGCGAGGACGCGACGCACGCTGGGCGCGCGGGTGGCAGGAACGCGAGGGGAGACCCAGACCGAGTGGGCGTAGGAATACTAAACAATGACGGGTACGCGCGCGAGACGGACGGCACGAGCAACGTGCGCGCGACATGATGCGCGTGTGAGAGGCGCGCGCGAGACCTAATTGCCGAAGGACTAGGCGAGCGTGAGAGGCGGCGCATGGATGACGTGTGCGACGCGGACACGGCGTGAGGCGGTCGAAGACTTGGGCATAATTTGGAATTGTTTGGAGTGCAAGTCAAGCAAGATCAAGACAATCTAGTTAAATAGTACTCTAGTATATTCAATTTCCTTCTTGCACAATAATATCTAGATTGTTTAGGAATTTAATATTTAGTTGCTTTTATTTATTAGTAGTAGAAGATGCTAGGAGATTTACTAGCATTAGGATTTATTTTATTACATAGATTAGGAGATCTAGTTTGATTAGGCCTAGATTTATTTTGCACCTATAAATACCCCATGTACCTCATCATTATTTTATGTCTTGAATTGAGTATTGAATTGGTGAGCCAACTGAGAGGGGAACTTATGTTCTTACGTGTGTTTAAACAAAGCCATTAGTGCGTATTTACATACAGTGTCGGAGAGAAGGCCATTAGAGCGTCTTGAAGTCACAGTGTCTAAAAGAAGGCCGATAGTGCGTCTGTTAGATACACCTATCGCTGATAAACGAAGGCCCGAGTGTGCGTTTATTCACAACCCGTATAGAGTAAAAACACGGTCCGTCATCACGGTGGCTGCAGGCCTTGCGTAGGCCTTCGGCCATGGTGTTGCAGCGTCTGGCCGCAGCTGATGTGAACTAGGCCCAACTGGGCGCTACTGGACGCACATGACGATGACTGTCGTGGCCAAACGCTATGTGAATTGGCTGCCGCGCGACTGAGCATGGTCGGGTGTTACCGCACACCACGACGTGCAGCTGGACACATGATTGCGTACATAGGCGCTGGCTGGGCATGACCGGGTACCGCGCGGGCGCTGCCGTGCGACTCCCGCGATACTAGCTACTCGGGCAGGCTGTTAGGCGCTGCCGAGGCCAACTGCTGCGTGCTGGCCTGCGTTACCGCACGCTGGCATGCAAGACTGGACGTTGGCGTGTGCACGCGCACTGCCAACTGCTACTTGTTGCGGGTAGTGATATGTGCGACGCCCATACCGCATACACGCACATCACTCGAACCGCACACATGACTGCCGGTACGCTGCGGCCACTACATGCGGCCAGCGCAATCACAACCGACCCTCGTTGGTCGTCCGACGACTTTCTCCGGCAACATTAACTTGATCTAACATAACTTAACATAACTTTACTCAATGAAGTACCGGAGTGCCGAGGTACGCACACCGTGCGCGTATGATCGGCGTTAAGCTAATCCCTCGACCAAACGTAAAATTCCTCCAACCGACCTTAAATGATTGACTATAATACATCATTTAAAAGCTGTTGGAAAATGAATCACTCGGCCAACATGATTATAACGAAAGATAACATGACACGGCTTGTAATGGCCCGTAGGCGTGCGCTACGTGCGCTACCGACGACTTTAGGCCAATTCATGAACGAAATGACAACTTGACTCGACTAACATGAATGAACTGAGTATAAACTGACTTATAATGATCAAATAAACATGTATTGCTCGGGACTCGCCAGATAAAAAGAAAGTTTACTCGGTTATGGCTTAAACCGAACACATCATGACATTTCATGGAATTTTTAGAACATGAGATGAACAAATTGGACCTAACATGATCTTAAAAACATGAAAGTGTGTTGAGGACAAGATTACCTCCTCAATTGTTTGGCTAAACCCCGAGAACTGGCGTGAATTTTCTGGCTCCGTGCGTGTGCTAGGCCTCCGTGCGTGCGTGTGTACTCTCTTCCTCACTTAAGGTATTCACTCTATGAACTATCTTACTATACTTATTAATACGCACATGAAGAAGCTGAATTTTTCTCCCCAAGTTCACAATTTATACTAAAGCTAATTAAATGAAGAGGTGGGAGAATTTTCCAAGCAGCCATTTGCAAGAATTATGGACTTAAAAGAGCTTAGTCATCTCTAAGTTGGATTAGTAACCACTTAGTATCCCCAATTAAGTGACACCTCAAGCTTAA